TATATCCCAGAAGACAGAACTGTTCTGTTACATACTGTAGGTGCATTAATATGTATCTTCTCCGAGGGAAAGCCATATTCAGTGTTGAGTTAAAAACGAACATTCTATGGGTCTCCCATCTCCATCATCAGAGTATCATTGACCCTAATGAAGGAGACAGGAAGTTTCTGAAACAATGATCTTTTAACTCACCATTGACAGGGCTGATTTCCCAAAGATTTTATTGCATTAGTTCACTGTGAAAGTTTCAGATCTAACATAGTTATATAGGTACCAGTGGATATTAATCTGTAGAATTTTGGGAGACATTTTATACGTTTTCCTTCTAGGTTCCACAGTGGGAAGGACTATGTGAAAGAATAAATTTAACTTTGAAGGAGTTTGTTAAGTTGGAAAGAATTGTTGAGAAGAAAGAAGAAAATACCTCTAATGACAATTCCACTAGGTGGATGTACTTTGATTATAAGTACATGAATGAATGGTTTTCTGATCAACAGAGCCTTTTAAATGTAAGTTCATTATCTCATGTTCAGGGAATTTTGTCGTGATCACCAAACTTTCTGATGGAATCTGAAGTTTCAGTAGTGTTAACATAGAGGCATATTACTTGCCATTACCTTGAGCCAGCTTATTCCAGTCCATATTATTACAATAATTTTTTCTGAGAGCCATTGTAATATTATCCTTGCATTTTGATCTTTGTACCAAGTAAGTTGGCTTGATTGATATTGGTTGTGACTTGAACTTGGGAGTTGTCTGGTTTGAACTCATCCAGGAGAATGACTGTCCCGACTTGGCTTCTTTATGACTTCCTGCATTCCAAGTAAATGTTAGGATTATATGTGAAATGAGTCCATGACTGCTTTCTTGCAAATCCTTTCTAATTCACTGTACATTAATCATCCTGCAGTTTGGTGTTATATAGTCTCAGATGCTGACAGTGTCATTGAATAAATTATAAATAAGAAATAAAATCTCACTGATATATTGGGTTTCTGGACTTTATCCATCGTCCTAGTTTTTAAGATAACAAAAACACAACGTTTCGGAAACTGGATCTGTTTCCGTCCTCAGGTGAAGGAAAAGTATCACCTATTCTGTTGGGTCCGTTAGAAAGAGCTAGCCTCAATCACTGGACCCCTTTTCCTTCACCTGAGGACGGAAACAGATCCAGTTTCCGAAACATCGTGTTTTTGTTATCTTAAAAACTAGGACGATGGATAAAGTCCAGAAACCCAATATATCAGTGTGTTATACACCATCGTCAGAATCCTATAGTAAGAAATAAAATCTCTTTCAGCGCCAATATGGTTGCCAAAAGATTTTCCTACAAAACTCTGCTCTTCTTTTTTCCCCCCTTCCAATCTCTACCTAACATTGTAACTCCTTGATTTAACTATATAAAGAAATGTAGAAGAAGCTGATTAATTATGAAGGTCCGTATTATGTAGACTTTTTCATTTGCTTCTCAGTGTAGTTCATGTGCTTTCCTCAACTTTTTGTGTTCAGACACTTGTACTTGTATAAGTTTTTGAAGTTTTTTAAGCAGCGATTCTTCAGGGTGAAATCTGATCTCCTAAGTGTTTGTATCAACTTTCAAGGGTGCACAGTGGCACAACACAGAGGACTACAATGCAAACTTGTACATTTATACAAGGTGGTATTGCAAAGTTCCGAGACTGTTATTGTTGTAACTGTCCCAGTGAAAGAAGATTAGAGGAGAGGCCAAGGTTATGCTTCTGCAAGCCTATTGCATCAGTGTGCCACATGACATCACCCTGTGAACACACATTGTTTTTACACAAGTGCCTTTTTGACTTTGTGTTTTGTTTTGTCTGCGATGGATGGCAAAATTGAGCCACCTATCTGTGTCAGGTTCTGCGTGATGCTTGGTAAATCCGCTACTGAAACCCTTGAAATGCGTCATGAGGCTTTTGGAGAACATTCTTTAAGGCAGACAGTGGTTTTCGAATGGCATTCATGTTTCAAGGCCAGTTGAGTCTGAGTTGAAGATAACGAACATTCAGGGTGACAAAGCACCAGCAAAATAACAGAAAATATTGAAAGATATGAGAACTTATCAACACAGACCATCGCCAAAGAATCCATGAGTTTGCAGACACTGCTGGGATCAGTTATGGAATTTGCCAGTAGATCTTAACAGAAAATTTGAATGTGTGCTGCATTGCTCCTTCATCATGACAACACACTCGCCCACACGTCCGTGAAGACCACAGGGTTTGCTACTAACAGCAACATGGTTATTGTTCCCCATCCTCCCTACTTGCCGGACTTAGCACCCTTTGATTTTGCTCTGTTTCCCAAATTGAAAATGAAACTGAAGGAATGACATTTTGAAACAGTGTCTGATATCCAAAGGGAATCGCAAGTGGTACTGGACAGCATTATTTAATGTTTCAGAGACTACTGGTCCATCCATCATCAGAGGTTGATATGATGAGTGTCATGGTCACACAGACCACTGTGCATAGTCAGGCAGTCAGTCATCATAGCCCACATTGCTCATCATTGGTTCTCTGTTTGATTTTTTTAATGTCCCTCATTGTTAATCAATTTTTGACTGGCTTAGATTGTATCCTGTATCCCTGTTAAAATTGTCAGAGTGCAGCTGGATCTCAGTGGCCTTCTTCACTAAGCAGTCCAAGTAGTCTGTAGAGGACATTAAAAAGACTTAGTCACCAGGAAACTACAGCAAGCGACATGCATTGAGATGCTTGACTGCCTGAACCTGCCCCCTCAGCACTGAGATGGGGTGTCACTCACCATCTTACGTTGCCCACTGTTCCCTCAGCTTTCCATGGTGGGACAGCTGAGACGATGCTCTGTGAGTATAGTTGTGACACACATCACATCAGCTTCTGATGATGGAGACTGAGACAGATAGACAGACAGTTGTTGAAGCAATGGCTGCCAGTGCCAAATTCATGTAGCTGATCTACCTGAGAAGACTTCAGTATACTTTTATGTTCATTTATCTTGATGAACTGACTGTATCACACAGTTGTACAAAGTAACTGGGCATATTGTTTTATACAGAATATAGCAACAGATGATAAATTTTTCTTGTAATTTCATTTTAGTTTCATTTTCATTATGTCTAGGTATCTTATTTCATGTGCGGCTGAAAAAGCCTTATATTGGCTAGCAGAAATAAACTGTGGTACTATCACACTTTCAGTTTTCCTGCTTTCTGGGGGTCCCAGTTTTGATTTTTATGTGAAAACTTGTTATGTTGCCTGTGGTTTTTAGTAGTTTTCCTCAGTCCCTCTAGCCAAGTGCTAGGATAGTACTTTCAAATAGCCCATGACTGTTCCTTGATATGTTTCCCAATTCTAACTCATAATTGTCTTCCCATTTGACACTGTTCCTGGCACAGTGGAGAAATCATTGTTAAATATAAATAAAGGAGAAAATAAAACTCTTTGATTTAAATTCTTAGCAACAACGTGTAAGTTTAATTTGATTATGAAAAGCTCCTTGTATGTAGCTTACTTTTGGATTTTGTTTGATCTCAGCCAAAAGTCTGACTGATGACTGACATTTTCCATGATTTTCTACAGTCTCTCCAGTCATGCTACAGTAGTAGCTGGCCATATAAGAAAACTTGACTGGTTTGCTGTTCATCCTTGCTACATTAGCTTTCATGATTTCTTGTCATTTTTCTTTAATGCTGTGTAACCGAATAAGCACAGCATTATTATAAGTGCAAAGAGATGGACTATTAACATGTTTCATGTTTAGTGCACATGATAATGTTTTGTAAAAGGTAAAGGTATCCCTGTAACAGGCCATGGAGGCCAATAAGTTTTTTAGACATTAAGGCTCCCACATTTTCTAGACAGTTGGCTCACAGATAGTGGTAAGGTTGTCAGCCTTATGCCCCAGGTACAGACTACAGTGTGTTTCATGGTTAGTGCACATGATACTGTTTAAAGTGAATGCATTAATTAATTTATTCAATAACAGGCTGTGACATGGAAGAACTTTGGTTTCCCGGAGAGAGGAGGTTCACTCTCAACCATATGGATTGGAAATGATGGAGCTCACACTCCATGTCACTTGGACACTTATGGCTGTAACTTGGTGGCCCAGGTGTATGGTAGGTACGTTTTTTTTTATTGCTAGTGGGGTGGGACTAAGTCCCTTGTACTGCGGCCACTTCTGGCCTGTTGTACCAGCCCCAGATGATAGGTGAGGGTGATTGTGGAGCAGTTGGTGGAATGAAGATTGGCAGGGGAAACTGAAGTACTCAGAGAAAACCTGCCCCAGCACCACTCTCTCCACCACAGATCCCACTTGACCTGACCCGGGATCGAACCCAGGCTGCTGCGTTGGATGGTATGTATGTTAGTACTAATCATGCTGGGTAATGGGTCTGTTGTCATGTTGCTCATGTATATGGGATTGGTATAAGGCAAGGGCTACTGTGAATATACCATAAAAAGGAGTAGCACACATTAGCTCTCAAGTGATGGCCAGTAACACATTTCCAGTGTCCTTATAAATGAAATTTGAGGTTAATATTTACTGTAGAAAGAAAATAGTGTGGTCTGCTGAAGGTAGAATTAATTAAACATTATACTGAAAGTATTTTCTGTTTTTCAGCTTACTGAAAGTTACTTGTCTCAGACAGAGACTGCTATTACTCCAAGGAGTGACACAGTTGTTTTATCAGAAAAGTCCAGGGGACATGGGCACACTGAACAGGATGGTACACAGTAACACTCCGGTCTTGTATTTTGGGGGTGCTTGGTTTCAATCTCAGTTGGATTACTGGCTGAAGTTTTTTGTGGTTTTCCTCAGTCCATCCAGGAAAATATCAGGGTAATGCCTCTATTAGACAATGGCTGTTTCCTTCAGAATTCTTTCTAGTTCATCGCTCTCGATCCTGTCATTCAGTGTGAGATAGTCGTGACACTAAAACACTAAAAGTGTCATGAAGAATCCATGGGAGATAGAAAGCAGTGACAGTTCCTATGCAAGAATTATAGTTGAAAAGGTTTTATCCCATGAGCACCCAAGATTCTATACACTGTTCATTTTTAGGGCTGCAGAAAAGGAAAAGGCAGGCTGCGTAGTGATTATCACTGATATAAAACCTTCAATTGCATTTTTAGAATTTTTTTATGTTTCATTTAGTTGGCATAGTGGTAACAATCTAGACTTGTGTTCAGGATTTCCGTGGTTTGAAACTTTGTATGAATGTCAGCTGCCTGGACTGAGGTTTTTGTGAGTTTCCTCAGTCTCTCCAGGCAGATACCAGGATAGAACTTTGATTCAGTCATAACTGCTTCTTTCCAAACCTTTCCAATTCATCATTCATCTGTCATCCTACCAGTCAGTGCTATATAGTCTTAGCTACTGACAGTGTTGGTAAATAACACTCTCTCTCTCTTTCTCACATGCATGTGCACAAAATTTTTATTGTAGAATGATTTATAGGTACACAAAATTAATGACAGTGTTTTGGTATAGATTATCATCTTAGATACTGTGAAGGGGTAAAGAAAATGTTTCTACTTCATAGTTAACAACTGTTTGTATATTCACAGTTTGGCATGTTGATACCTGCAGATTGCTATACCATTGTTTGAATTTCAGGAAACAGTGGATTTTATTCCCACCTGAGAAAACATCATCATTATTGCCAACTCGAATTCCATATGAAGAATCAAGTATATATAGCAACTTAAATTTCTACAGTCCAGATGCAGATATTGCAGATGGTAATTATTTCTGTAGCTTGTCAAAGCTGATAGGTTTTTAATTGTTTTCTTATGTTTTAATTTTGGATGTAGTAAGTTCCCCCTCGTTGGTGTCTCCACCTTATCATGATGAGGGGGTTTGAGTATGCCAAGGACCCTGAGAGCTATACGAGCAGTAGCGTAGCTACTGTCAGGGCCTCCCTTGCAGGACAGGTCAAAGGGTAGGCATCAGACGAAGAGAGACACCAAAAACCAAAAACTGGTGCCGGAAGCAGCGTCATTAGCAGCGACTTGAAGCACAGAGCAAATGATGCTCGAGATGGTTCAAGTTCGTATAGCAACAGGCGTGACCAGAGTTGTTTGAACGGCTGTTGTACTGCGATGTGGAAGCAAATGGAAAAACTACCACATTATCACTTTTCCTGGATAGTCTCTTTCCGAAAACAGAAGATCGCATCAAGTGGAGGAACTGTTTTGGAAGATACTGAGGACCTGTCGTCTGACAGATTACTGATGAATGAATGTAGTAAGTTAAAAATGCAGTTTTCATGGAAAATTTCTGGCCTAGCAGGTAGAATCCAACTGTCGGAGGACACGACAGTGAATGTGTTAAATTTAATATGGTAGTATCAGTAGAATATCCCAGCATTTTATCATCACTGATTGTAATTGACATTGAATCTTAAAGGTTTCAGATGTGAAACCCCTTGAAAATTACAAGGAATTTATTTTGCTTCATTTAGTTGTTTTTTTTTCATCATCATGCATATTACTTTGGTGTAGAATAAAGGACAATATTACAGTGTGTTATAATTTCTAATGTTACAGATTTTTATTTAATAGAAACTTTAACTTCTTCGAATTGATGACAAATATGCATGGAGCCAATGTGATTCATTATTCTCCCATCTGTGCCTAGGTCTGTCAAGTAATCTCTTTTGTTCAGGTTTTCTGACAAAGGTTTTGCATGCATTTTGCATATCTGATCTTGTTTTATTTCCGACTCCTCTTATCCTTGATAATTACCTTGGTAACATTAGGTTATAAGCAGTCCATCACTCCTCATGGCAGTGATGCCAAATTCTGTCTCTGTAGATGCTCCTTCGTTGATCTTGAGCATCTTCAGTTGATTGTCTACCTGTTCTTAGTCTAGTCAATGTAGGCATTCTTAAGGTTTTAGGCATGTGGATTGATTAGTTTTCCTGGCTGTCTCTACAAAGAGATGAGTTCTTATGCCTCAGTGCATGATGGGTAATCTTGACAGCACAGAAGGGTCATGATACAGAAGTTGGATTCTGGTGGAAGCAGTGATAATGAGCAGGTAGGAATTAAGTGAAGGAGGATGAAGCAGTTTGATCTTGTTCAAATTACAGCACTTCTTGCCCTGTTTTAGGTAGTGCATGCAGCCCTTGATGCATTAATTCACAGTCTCTGTGCAATAAACACTACATGCCATTAGATGAAGACTGGGCAGATGATTTATGCAGAATTGCTGATTTTATAGATTTTGTGCTTTATGATGGAATTAATTTGATACATTAACAGGCGTCTGGCATTGTGTTCAAAAGAATAGTGGTGGATTACTTGAACTTGTAGTTCTACTTTCAGAAGCCAGTTCCATAATCTCAACTGAAGACTGACTCTATCTAGAAGATTAGTGCATCAGATGTTTCCTATATGGACTTCACCATACGTTTCATTTAAACACATTTTAATCAGCCTAACTAGTTTCATGGGTACCCCAAACTCTATCAGAATATTGTACAGTACTTCCCTCCTAACTGAATCATATGCTTTCTTGAAGGCTACGAATAACTGATGTACCTTCTCATTGTACTCCCATTTTTTCTTCAGTATCTGACAAATGCAAAAGATCTGATCAGTAGTTGATCTGTTATGTCAAAACCCAAACTGATGATCCCCAATAATTTCATCTGTATGAGTACTTAATCTTGAGAGAAGACATTGGATACAATTTTGTATAAAGTTGATAGCAGTGATATCTCATGATAATTACTACAGTCAGTTTTATGGACATGATTGGACATCAGGTATGCGTGAATGCTGTTTCCTTTCTACCAAAATGTGATCAATTTGGTTGTGCATCTTTCCATCAGGAGATGGCCAAGTAAGTTTATGACAATTAATGATGTGGGAACATTGTACTTTTGACAATAAGATTTTTGTATGTGGCAAAGTTTACTACTCTAACTCCATTATCATTACTCATTTCATGCAAACTCTCATTCCTAGTCGTTGGTTTGAAAATGTCTCCCTACCTATTTTGGCATTGAAATCTCCAAAGGAAATTTTCAAATGGTATTTAGGGAATTCATTGCATACATGTTCTAGTTCTTCGTAGAACCTGTCTTTCATATTATCAATTTTATCTTTTGTTGGAGCATGAACATTCAGGACAATGATGTCACACCAGCGACCTCTTAGTATTATGTATGACATCGTATCACTAATGAACTCCACCCTCTTAACTGCTGATATGGTTCTCTTATGTATGAAAAAACCCATACCTAATTTATGATTTTCATTCCCCTTTCCATAGAAAACTGTATATTCCCCCTGCTGGTTCAGTGCCACCTCTATCCCATCTGACCTGTACTCTCACTAAATCTAACTTACATTTTGAGATTTCATCTGCCACTGCCCTAAACCTACTTCTGACATTCCAAGTACCAAATCTCATATCCATTTTCTTTTGCTCAGGTTTTCTATCCAAAGACATCTTCCAGATCTGAGGCTTCTTGTGATTTTTTGTAACAACCTTATTTTTTACGGTGAGGCGTTAGCCCCATGTCCAACCCCCAAGCTGGAGGACCACCCCTTGTCTGCTGTCTGCGACTGCTTAGTCAATATATTTGCAGCTACCCTCCATATCTGGACGCTGTCTCCTCCATGCACAACCTGAGGATGCACCTTGCCTTGGTGACAAGGGACCCAACTAATGTGGGACAATTTATTTACAGAATGAGTAGATGAAAATAAAGGAGACTGCAGAAATTCATGGAGGTTACATGTAATGAAACCAGACAATAAAAGTATTCCAAAGTAAATTTATCCACACAAGCCGAAATAATGAGAGACCACTATAGCATGATGAAAAATAGGAACAGATGTTTCTAATCATGTAAAGCAGGTGGTGGTGATATTTTTGTCATGGGTTATTTAGGGATGCTTTCTCAGTTGTGGGAGTTGTGTGGCATAAGGTAAGAGAATGACTGATTGATGAATTGGAAAGGATATCTGGGATGATAGTGATGACTATGTAATGATGTGCAAGGAAGCAGTTGTGGAACTTTTAGTGACTGTGTGGGGGTCTTCAGGATAGCAGACTTTGGGGCCAGGAATTAAAACCTCCTGTATATGAAACAAGAGTGATAATCACTGCACCATAATGTTGTGGTATTGTGATATTTGTGTAACAAGCTGAACAAGAATGACAATCAGCATTCATTTACTCACTGTTTTGTCATATTTGCAGAGCTGCAGGAAGCTTATGTGGTGACTCTGAAACCTGGAGATGTGCTGTTTGTACCACATTACTGGTGGCACTATGTTGAAAATGTTGGGACAGCAGTGAGCATCAATTCATGGATTCCTTTGGTAAGCATCATGTGTCGTTACATAACCAACTTCATGGTGCCAGGTCCTTTTGAAAATATAATAGTTCCATAGGTAGTCAAAAAATTCATTGTTCTTATAGAACATGAAGGTTCATCACCATGCTCGCAAAACCTGCCATTAGACTCTACCCTGAGCTAGAACCATTCTAATGTTTGCTCTCTGTTTCTTGCTTCATGTTAATATTTTTCTCTCATCTACATCTAGGTATCATAAGTAGGCACTTCCACAACTTTTTTGACTTGCAATGTATGCATTTGTCATCTCTCCCTTACAATTGACTGCTGCTTGGCTGGTGTTCTGGTTATATAACCCTTTGGCATGGGCCATGTAGAAGACACTTGTATCCAACAGTGCCTCTGTTGTTCCATATGGACTGCTGACTGCTATCTAGCAAAGGCTGTTGTCTAGTTGTTTATTTCATGGTTTTTGCCTAGCAATGCATTTATATGCTATATTGCTCCCTCCTTAAGGCTATTTGTCCCAAATTGCTTATACTTGTGCTACCATTTCTTTTCTGGGGTTGTGCTTATGATGTCTGTGATCTGTCTTGCCTTCCTTCCCCTTGGCTCGGTTCTCATGGTGATAACTCTCCAACTGCTCTCACTGCTCCCTCCTTAAAGTCAGTTGTCCTGAGCAGCTCTCTCATAAGGTGCCAGTCAACCCACATGTACTGTCATCATCCTTCTTCCTCTTGGTGTGGGCATAAGTTCTGAGAGTGGTCAGTGCTCTTACTCTTAAGCTCTTAGTGGTCTCTTCTTTCGTTTTGGAGGTGACTGACCCCCTCCACAATGTCCAGTCACTCATTTTGGAAGTCCTGACTGAAGGCTCAACTCTTCACTTCATGATCTCCAGCGCAAGAGCCTTCCCAAAGATCCTGTTGGATGTCCTCTCACTTCTAAGGTGTAGCTGCTCCTTTATTCCACTGCTGCATTCCTGGCATGTCTGTTGTCTACTCTCAATGTTCAGCCTGTAGGGTCACCTCTTGCAACATTGTTCCTGCCTGGTCCCTGATGACTGTGCCCCTTGCGTGGTACAGGAGGGTCATCCATCAGCAGATGGTGGCCAGATTCTTCCAGGATCCATGATCACTTTGGGTTTGTTTCATTGGCTGTCGGCAGCACTCTATGGCTAGGTGCTGGCCCCTATACTGCTCCATCAGTGCTCCAGTCATCTCCACCATGGCCTCTTATTTAGGGACTTCCTGATGCTCTGCTACAGGCTTCATTTCCTCTGGATTTGCCTCCATCTTTTCCAGATAGTCCTCTGTTATTTCTCAGTCAGCCTTTATCTCTTTTGACCAGGCCCTCATTTCTGATCTCGTGTCCGGCTTTCATCCTGACCAGCAGTTGTTCCATCGTTTATTCCATTTTCGTAGTGTGGCAATATAACTACACAGTTCAGTCTTCAATCCAATAATCAATCAATCCAATCCCACCTCTGACACCAGTTGTCAGATGTGACTGTAGATGGGTTTAGGATTGGCGATTATATTTATTGACCATTTTAACATGACTCATGACTACACATAACCATAAGAGCCTCACTGGTTTACACACCCAACAGATCACTGTAACTGCAGCACACATTGTCTTCTGTGTCGTCTCTTTACAGACTGTCTTACAACTAACTTCCTGGCTGGTGGCCACCTCACACCAGCCTCCTATTCTTCTCACTGCCATCTCAAAACTCTTACAACTGACTGTCTCCTAGGCTGGTGGCCATCTCACACCAGCCTCCTTGTCTTCTCTTCCCAGACTCCGTTACAGCTGACTGCAGCTTAACTGGTGTCTTCATTATATAACCCCTATCGTTGCATGTGGACTGTTGGGATTCCCATGTGATCACTAGTCAGCCAGTCCATTGGTGTGCTGGCTGCTGCTTAGCAACAGTTATTGTCTCATTGTTTGTATCACAATATTTGCCTAAGCAGTGGGTCTGTACACCGCAATATCAGCACAAGACCAAGAAAAACCCCAAAGAAATACATAGGTAAAAGATTCACATCTGCACACAACTACTACATCCAGACAAAACATAAGAAAGCTTTTTTATGTTTAATTTTAATGATTTAACACTGTAACAATTAATATTTAATCTTAGGGGTGAAAACACCTTTTTTATATATAATGGCATTACATATTACTAAAAAAACCTGTCCTCCAATATGTAAACACTGCCCAATGAAGGAAGACTAGCTGACAGATACATGTGAATGTAAAAATGCCAAATACCTGATGATGATGTCTTAATGGGCTGAAACATGTAAGAAACGACATGTACGGTGTGTCCTTACTACCTACTGTGGTGATGGAATAAAATAGTGGGTAGTGCCATAGGTCTTGTTCCTTAATCTTTAATTGTAAAGTATGTTTTTGTAATGTATTTCATTTCAGAAATGCAAGGTAACTGGTACTTTTGGCATTAGCTTATGCAATAGTGTTTCTGTACTGTGTTTGTAACTTGCTTGTGCTGAAGACAGGAATAATTTCTTTTAACTTGGTATTTGGTATTATGAAATAGAATGTTTTTTCTTTCAGCTGTCAGATGATGAATACAGGCTGGAAGAGGCCCTTGTTAGATTCTTTGTATCACAAGTTTGTAAGAATCTGCCAGAGAATAAACTCAATCAGCTTCTCAACCCAAATGAAGTAAGAAATGTTTCAGTTTTTCACAAACAACACTTTTTTAGAAACTGTGTTTTTATGTTGTCTGTACTGAGGTTGTATAACAAGGATGAAGAGGGTATGGAATGTCATTATATGAAGAGACAACCACTTTTATAATTGTTCTGTAAATATTTATTATAATTGCACAGTACACAGACACACTTCGGTTTGAAGAATTTAAGACTAACAGTATAGGACCAACAATATTACTGCTTGCAACACCCACACCACTCTCTCTTCTTAATAAATCAAAGTCAAAGTCACACTGCAACTGACGGTCGGTCAGTCTGTCTGTCATGGTGTCGATCAGATGTTTCTTCTTATATTAAAGTTACTGTCCTGTCCATTTTGGGCACCCTCTCTGATGAGAGGTCGGGTCTGTCATTCGTCAGTCATAGCCTGTATTAGTAGGTCCATTGTCAGTATTTACATATATTTACATTTTTAATCTTAATTCCTACTTCTATGGACAATATATACAAGGCCTCTGTCAGTCCAGGTTCACACTTTCTAAACCTCTGCACTAATTGAAATAATTTTGTTGAAAAGAGCATAGTACAATTGGACAGAAAACTGTGTGGGCTCAAGAACTGAAGTTACAATGTTTGAGAAGTATCCATTTGAAGTGTTGGCTTGAGTACTAACTCTGCTTGAAGTAGGCTATGACTACTTTCATCCAGAGTCTTAATTTTTCAAAATTCATGACGATATTGCAGTCAAATTTAATGTTATATAAGGTCTACAATGAAAGTAGCACACAGAAATAACACAACTGTCGCGCTGTTGAAGCAGATAAACTAAAATAGCAACATGAGTGTTGTGTGATACAGCATCCTGTGTTTTAAATTTGAGAAGCACGTGACAATTAAAATATACACTTCATTGAAATCTGTTTAATCTTGCAGGCAGACTTGGTAGATCATCCACTTTCCACGGCTGCACAACAAGTTGAAATCTGTTTAGAACGGTGTCACCAGAACAGAGCTTGTGGCAAGGAATTGGATGTGAACGTGGACAGTCAGAGTATGAAGAAGAGATCTAGATTGGATGGAGAATCTGATTTATATGTTTGTGGGCAAACATCAAATAAGTTGACCCAAGAAGAAGTTCTTTACAAGTACAAGGATATCATAAGTGTTGTACCAAAGTATTCAGTGTCAGAGTTCAGGAGTTTACTTATGGAAAAACAGAAATCATTTCCAGCACAGAATATGGGGGGCATATCATCAGGTGTAGCTGATGCAGATATGAACAGACTGCAGGATATAGTTAATGCCTTTTGTCACCCTGAAATCATTTCAAAGATTAAAGACAAGATTTTAATGCAGGTATGACTGAATGTAATGAAAGGTTTTTATGAATGTTCACTGTATAATTCATGAACATTTTCTTCATAACTTTATGGCAAAGAGGAATGTGTATGTGACCTATATAAGGATTTAGGAAATTGCCTATCATCAGAAACATTGTATATATACTTGGCTTATCTGCAGGTGGGATATTTTCTCTGGAAAACCTGGTAGGACTTATGGGGTGGAGTGCTGAGAAAAGAACCTAATTTTCTTCTTTTAATCTTGTATATATTGGCTCAATCTTCACGCCATGTCAGTTCCATCCCCATGGTACATCATGCCCTTTGCATTTGCATCATTGCAAGGTCATCTTGATCATACAAAGTGGGAGAAGCAACAGAGAATAACTGTCATCCAGCTATGTCCTCTTGCTGACTTCAGCATTTATGCCTGTTGCTGGCTCTCATACATTTCAGTGATGAAATTTTTGTGATTACATCTTTCATTTATAACAACTGAATGTGTGCAATTATACTGGGGTGTATTTTCATCTTAATTTACAATGAAAATTGAAGGTACATACATCTATATAAATAAAAACGTAAATGTTCGTTTGTCTCTCCTTGAAGATCTCCGAAAGTTCTTCACCGATTGCTTTGAAATTTTGACACAACGTTGCATTCAAACACGCACGTGTTTTTATATACCTATTATATAAATGTGATGCCCGTGACAGGTAAAAAACGTGTTATACGTCCATCAAATACCAACAGATCGTTGCCTGGGAATAACTGTGGCAACGAACTGTTGAAACAGCGGATCATTGCCTAGGAACGTAAATGTGTTTTATATGCCTATTATGTAGATGTCACACCCGTGACAGGTAAAAACAGGTAAAAGTATTAATTGTATTCAATATTAATATACTGTAACGTGTTATACGTCGTCCATCAAATACCAACAGAGCGTTGCCTAGGAATAACCATGGCAACGAACTGTTGAAACAGTGGGTCATTGCCTAGGAATAACTGTGGCAACGAACTGTTGAAACAGCGGGTCGTTACCTTGGAATAACCGTCGCAACGAACTGTTGAAACAGCGGGTCGTTGCCTAGGTATTAACTGTGGCAACGAACTGTTGAAACAGCGGGTCGTTGCCTTGGAATAACCGTTGCAACGAACTGTTGAAACAGCGGGTCACCTTGGAATAACCGTCACAACTAACTGTTGAAACAGCACATCGGTGCCTTGGAATAACCGAGACAGCGGAAATAATGCATTTCTGCGGCATTGGGCACAGAACACGTGAAATGGAACCCTGGGCAAAAGTGCCCTCTATTGCGTCCGAAACTGGGTTATAATAGTCCAGCTCCGAAGATATTTTCAGTGATACTGGACGTGATAATAATTGTGCTCGCTGCTGTAAAAGTAAGCGTTCAATAACTTATTCGCTGAATCTGAGACGTGCGTGGAAGTTATTTCGTAAGTATAGTTTATTTTTCTTTTTGTTTTCTAAGAACAAGCTTGGGTCGTTGTACTTGCGGAGTGGAAGCAATGGGTCGAGTAATTTCAAATCAAACTGGGGAAGAACGGGCAGACTGAGCCACAGCAAGGCGTGGCCAGGCACAGCTAGTTATTCAATAAAATATTATAGTGTGTCTTTATTGTCTGCATTAAACATTAATTTTACCATGAATTATATCATCAGTGGTGTATAAACCCAGGATATAATATATATATATATATAATATATCAGGGACTAATACAGTGAAAATTTAATTTCACGGTCTCAGATTTTACGTTTTTTACAAATTTACATACATTTCACGTGGTCTTGGCCAATGCCAATGAGTGCGAGATATATAGTCTTATGTCATTTTTAATACACATCATGCTGTATTTACCAGTCTGCATAAGTAATTAGTATTTTAATACACTTAATATAATTATTGTGTTTTTGGACATTATCCATCATCCTGTACTTCATTTAGAATGTTTTGGAGACTGGATTCCGTCTCCATCCTCAGGTGAAAACCTATTCAGTTGGGCCAAATCGATAGAGCTAGTCCATTTCGGGACATCAGAACCAATGCAAGATAGGATATAAGAGTATAAACCAACCACAATTCTCGCCAATGGTTTATGTTGTGTTTTAGTTTATATATCCTATCTTTTGTTGCCGCTGTCTTTATGTTATCCTTTTGCCCTGCATTTTGATGACAAGATACCAATGTGTACTGAGTATTCTCTGCATTTACTTATTGACCAACCTCCTTCCAGTCATTAATTAGAGCTTCTGTGTTTTTCTTTATCATATTTATGTTATCTCCCAATAGATTGACATCAGCATAGAATAGCAACTGATGTGTCCCATTTCATTTCAGTCCTACCTGATTTTCCTGGACCTTCTGTTATATTCTAAAGCAGAGTTGAAAATCACTGGCAGTAAAGTATCATCTTGTTTTAGACCTTTTTGAATAGAAAATGTGTCAGACAAATGTTTGCCTACACAGACTTTACTATGGATTTCATTTAAACACATTGTAATGAGCCTAACAAGTTTCATTTGTACCCCAAACTCTATGAGAATATTGTACAGTACTTCCCACCTAACCAAATCATAGGCTTTCTTGAAGTCTATGAATAGCTAATGTACTGTCTCATTGTGTTCCCATTTTTTTCTATAGTATCTGACAAATGAAAATAATCTGATTAGTAGTTCATTAGAGACCTGTATAGAGGAATAAATGACTTTAAGAGGGGTTACCAGCCTAGCAGTAACTTAGTGAAGGACGAGAATGGTGATCTGCTTCCAGATTCCCACAACATTTTGAATAGGTGGAGGAACTACTTCTTTCAGTTATTGAACGTACATAGGGTCAGTGATGTTAGGCAGACAGAAATCCATACAGCTGAGCCGTTAATACCTGATCCTAGTCCTTTTGAGGTTGAAAGTGCTATTGCAAAATCGAAACAGTATAAATCGCCAGGTAGTGATATTCTGGCAGAACTTATTCAAGCAGGAGGCGAAATATTATGTTCTAAGATCCACAATCTAATTACTTCTATTTGGCATAAGGAAAAATTGCCTGATCAGTGGAAGGAGTCTATTATTGTACGAGTTCACAAGAAGGGTGATAAAACTGACTGTAGTAATTATCGGGGGATATCACTGCTATCAACTTCATATAAAATTTTGTCCAATATTCTTCTTTCAAGGTTAAGTCCATATATAGATGAAATTATTGGGGATCATCAGTGTGGGTTTCGACATAACAGATCAACTACAGATCAGATCTTTTGCATTTGTCAGATATTGGAGAAAAAATGGGAGTACGATGAGACAGTACATCAGCTATTCATAGACTTCATGAAAGCCTACGATTCAGTCAGGAGGGAAGTATTGTACAATATTCTAATAGGGTTTGGGATACCCATGAAACTAGTTAGGCTGATTAAAATGTGTTTAAACGAAACGTATAGTAAAGTCTGTGTAGATAAACATTTGTCTGGTAAATTTCCTATCCAGAATGGTCTAAAACAAGGAGATGCTTTATTGCCACTCCTTTTCAACTTTGCTTTAGAATATGCAATTAGGAAGGTCCAGGGAAACCAGGTGGGACTGAAATTAAACGGGACACATCAGCTGTTGGTCTACGCCGATGATGTGAATCTACTGGGTGATAATGTAGATACCATAAAGAAAAAAACACAAACTTTAATTGACGCAAGTAAAGAGGTTGGTCTAGAAGTAAACACAGAGAAAACTAAATATATGTTACTGTCTCATCACGAAAATGCAGGGCAAAATCATGACACAAAGATAGGAAATACTTTTTTTTTTTTAAATGTGGCACAGTTCAGATATTTGGGAACAATGATAACAGATCGAAACCTTATTCAGGAAGAAATTAAAAGGTAACTGACCCTGGGTAATGCTTGCTACCATTCAGTCCAGAACCTTTTGTCTTCTTGTCTGTTGTCCAAAAACATAAAAATAAGAATATACAAAACTATAATATTGCCTGTGGTTCTGCATGGGTGTGAAACTTGGACTGAGGGTGTTTGAGAACAGGGTGTTGAGGAGCTTCATAACTTGTACTCTTCTCCAAGTATAATTAGAATGATCAACTCAAGGAGGATGAGGTGGGCAGGTCATGTAAAGGGTAAAATTGTTTAAGACATATAAAATTATATAAGGTATGCGGGCTGTGCCATAGCTCAAGCGGTTAGTTGCTGGCTTCCCACAGCGGCGGCTTGGGCTCCATCCCGGTTCTGGTCAAGTGGGATCTGTGGTAGACAGAGTGGCGCTGGGGCAGGTTTTCTCCGAGTACCTGCCAATCTTCATTCCACCAATTGCTCCACAATCACCCTCACCAATCATATGGGGCTGGTACAATAGGCCAGAAGTGGCCGCAGTACAAGGGACTTAGCCCCACCCCACTAGCAGCAAAAAAAAATATAAGGTATGCAGTCTACACAACAATATTCTGTATTTAAAAACAAAGAAGACACTACTGTATCAACATTTACATCTATTTTCACTTCATGGATCCAATCACCTCCCTGTAGGACTGGATATAAAACATGTCACACATTACAAATTCATGATGAGTACACATCATATGCCCTTGGTCAAATAAAATATATAATTAGGCCTCACACAGACAGCACAAGTAGGCCGTGGAAAAACCACTATCATATTCAACCCTGATCAAAATCACTCATAGTTCCAACCATAACAACCCTATGCTGCGCAATTGCAGACCTTGGCCAGCCATATCATCAATACAGTTTCATTGTAACATATCAAAACATACACAGACATCATACATACTGCCACATTTTCAACAACGTATAATACAAGCGCAACACACCATTTATTAAATGTTAACATTTGAGCCCCTTGCATGCTCAACAAATTCATCAGTTGAGTAAAATGAGTTACATTGCAAATAATTTCATAAAACAAACCTAAACTGATTTTTATCATTTTTTTAAAGATGGCAGTGTGTTAAATAGCCTGACACCTGAATAATACACCCCTCTCTGATAGGATGATATATGTGTTGAAGGTATGTGAAGGTGGTCATTCCTTCTGGTACTAATCATATACACAGAGTTACTGGTTTGAAACTTATCCAAATTATTAACAAATGTCATCAATGAGAGCAAATATACACACGGGGTTAGTAGTATGTCAAGCTTTTATTTTGTTTTTACAGACACAACATATTTTGACCATTATACCGGGTTATCATCAGGTGTACAATGCTCCAGTCTCAGCTGTTGAATTGCAATTGATTTTCATCTAATTCTTCAAATAAGATCCTTACTGTATCTTGAAATTGTTTAAATGCATATATTGAGTCTTGGTCAAAATTTAAGACTGAAAATGCTTATATAATAAAATTTAAAATTAAAGATATAGAAATTAAAATATGGACATTAAAATTGTTTTTTGTGGTAAAACTCTGCGACTGCCACGTCTTGACCTGGTTTTATGATGGTAGAAGCGACTATAGCATGGGGCACCTCACGTATCGGAATCTTCTCACATGGGATAGGTCGTATAGTCATGACCTTAATAACGTCTTACAGAGCTTATGCTCATGTGATCTGTAACAGTTCATGCGGTAAAGAACCGAAACATGTTGTGTTGAAATATTTTAATAAGCCAAACTGATCTATCGACAATCTGATTGTATAATTTATTGAAAGTATAAAGTTGTTATCAACAGACATATTTACATATGTTGCTATATGTTGGTTACAGTGTATCCACTTGAATCTATTCATTTCTATTGTCTTATGTGATTCATTTCAATGGTACCATATGTATTAAATGAAATTTTCTAGTTGTTTTCTGACAATAAATGTGCAGGGATCAAGACAGTGCTTCTGTTCTTCAAAATTATGGCTGAATGGTCTGTCAGCCAAAACCAGCTTTGTTAGTTTGCTTATAAAAACTAGCCTAAACTTATGCAGTACACTACAGTAAGTGCTGTTACTCTTCATCATCATTTGCAAGTTTAATGACAGTGAATGGATACTTATTCAAATACACCATGTGAAATTTACAATATGAAAATTTAATACTGCTGTTTGCACCACTCACATAAATGATATTTATTCCATGATTTAACTTCAAGAATATAACAAAACTAGTACTTGCAAACACTGCATTATGAGAAAAAAAAATCAGAGAAACCTTTGTTCTCTGTTTTTATTTCCAGCATATTTCAGGAAAAAAGCCTCTGGCTTTCATGGCTGTTGTTAACCTGTCTTCATTCTAGCTATAATTTCATCACCCTATGATGGGACTGGTTAACCACTGTTTTTGGAGAACACTTCTTCATTCCACACTGTCATGTGATGCAAAATTATAACTACAGGGAAACAGCCATTTAATGATTCCGTAATTTAGAAGGCTGGGTGGGCTCAAAGTTGGTCTGGTCAATGAGGAGAAAATTCTTGACCCTACTGGGACTTGAACTATGACCCCCAATCAAAGCTCCTATATCATTTGTAGTTATATGAAGTGAAGAACAGAACTTCTCATTGGTAACACTTTATAATTAACTGAAGATGTTATAATGACGGCTTATTAACTGGATTACAGAATTAACATCTAGCTGCAAAGAGTAACTGTAGCTAAATTTATATTCTTTGTTCTTATTACTTCTTACAGGATCAAACCTGCGAATATGTCATATTAATATTATACCATATTCACACATCTACATCATGTAATTTACAGATATCTTCATATTCCACTTTGTCAACTATTCTGCCCTTCAAAGGACCTGAGGAAATTTCAATGGTCACGCAGAATTTCTTCTCATCCAGTTCCTTAAGTATGGCACTGCAACCACGATAAGCACCATTTACAACACGCAGGGGTCGGCCTATTGCTGGTATCACTGTTTCAAGATGTTCTTGGTCTAGTTTTAGTTTGTGTCCACTATCTAACATGGTTACAGTAGCTACATACCTAGCTGGCACTCCAGTCACAACACCTTTCTTTTTGTAGTATTTGTCACCCAGAGACTTTGCTGTCACTTTCACAACAATTCCTTCCACCAACCAATAATCCTTTCTGTTTATACGTTCTTTCTTATCCTCTTCATCTTTAATGATCTCATCTAGGGCTGATAATTTCCTCTTTTCACCCCTCCCTCTTCCAGATTCCTTTGAGTCTTTGTTCTTTCCTGCTGAAGAACACTCTCCTCTCTTGTAGTCGTTCTTCAACGCATTACTTGCCACCAAAGTTTTATTTTTCATGTCTTCATCCCTTTTTGTTTCTACCTTCAAATTTACAACTACTTTATGTTCCTCGCTTGGTCGCACAAACTCTGTGAAAACATGAGTGTCATTCTTGGAACATTCCTTTCCCTTCTCAATTTGCTTTTCAATAAATGCCATCATCTTCTCCTGATCGTCTCTGTCCATCTTCTCCTTGCGGGCAAGAGCTTCTTGCAATGCAATGGTTTCTGGGTCACGGTCTATATACTGTACATACCATCCTTTTTCAGTCTCATCCACTATGCACTTTCCTTCCCTTCCAAGCCATTTCACAAAGTCTGTCAATGTTTCCCATTGCGTAGAATTCATATGTAAATGATGACGCTCGGAGATATAGTCCTGGTATACACGATTTGCATGAACACGTTTTGTACCAAACTGACGTTTTAGTAGTTCCAGATAACCGCTTTCAAATTCTTTGGAGAAATTATCAGTGTATTTGTCTGCATTATCGGCAAATAGAAGTAGTTGCCGCTGATGAGATTCTGACATCATATGACATTTGAAACCATTCTCGTCACGGCATTGTTTCTGGCACATCTGACAATACCATCGAAGTTTCTGGAGGCCTTTCGCCTTTATTTTGTTGGCTATATATTTCGGGGTACCGACTTCATGTTTCCCCATTATGTTTAATACGTTTTAGATTCTTTATAGTACTATAACACGACGCCAGAAACCGGGAATAGTTGAGCTATTCCTAGGATATGGATACAGAAGGAAAAGTCTGCAGCTGCACAAAGCAAAGCACCAAAAACACAGTTGTAATATGGACACTACCTGCTCAATCGACAAGATCGCAGCTGAAATTTCATAAAACACTCATTTATGTAAGATATATGAAGCTATAAAACCTCTTTTATACGTTCAGAGCATTCACACGCCCAATAACACAAGTCCCTCAAAATTCCACGACTCGTTGTTCAACACGTTCAACACCGTGACCAACGAAGCAAAATACAACTTCCCAATACAGTAACTGTAGAGCCTCTAGCGGCAGGACCAGGCCTCCAAGTCACGGATCACCACCATTGATTACTTACTGAATTCTGTTGGTGTTAAATTGCATATCTGTGAGTGCAAAAATTCTGATCATCGTACATACATACATTACATTCCGTATACCATAAATGCAGTACAACTGAGACACGGCCAAAAGAAATACATCCACATATATAAATCAATACTGCCAACATATGCTATGTACTCAGCCTTTTGGGAGGACGAGTCGTTTTTAGACAATAGGAATTCATCAACAGAGAAGAATGAGTGTGATTAAGTGGTGGTGATCCGTGACTTGGAGTTACTGGCTCTGCCGCTAGGGGCTATAGAATAGATTTACTGCATTGGGAAGTTGTATTTTGGTTCGTTGGTCAATGTCTGCTAAATTTATCTCTGGCATCGAAATGGTTGAAACGAAGGCGATTGGAGATCGCTATGTTCATTAGCATTTTTAACACGTTTAAAATTATAGATATAGTCATAAATATTCCATTGTACTTAGGGATAACGTTCATGTGCAGAGTATTTTCACACGTTGGGGTCGGAATAGCGAATTTACGAGAGGTCAGTTAGTCACCGCGTCACTTGCAAATGCATGAATGTCTGGGTTCGGTTTATGGTAACGACAGTTCGTCTGCTGGTTCGTAGGAGCTGGACTGTAACTTTTGTGAAATTGTATTTATTTTTGTTGCGGGCGTAATAGTTTGTGCTTAGTGTACAGCATTGGAATTAAATTCAAAGTTAATGCTATGGCCATATTTAACGGTGCATAACCCCGTGGCTAATCTTGAGTGCCGTTAGATGTTAAAGGTTAGATTTTCTATTCAACGTTTTGTCGACGTAGTTATCAATGAAACTCACACGTTTTTGAATACACGTATACGAAAACCGTGAACTTGTGATAAGGCATTCTGACACCAGTTGTGAATGATTGAAGTAGCCTACGTATTCGGAGTATTTTGGTTTGTGGTATTTGTTGATATATTTTGAACAAGTAATTCCTGCACATTAGAGTCATTTGCTTTGTGATCGATGTTATGTTAAGTTACTCATTCACAATTTTTGGAATATTTAGCATTTTCTTATTGTACACTGCAGTTGGCCTTCTTGCAACAGATCTGGTTTGGCACTAGTTTCACCCCCACAGAGGCACAAGTTTGATCATAGGAGAGTCATTGTAGGGTTTGTAGTAAATGACATACAGCAGTTTTTCTTCTGTTACTGTGGTGCCTCATATTGGTGATTTGGCGCCTATTCTGTTTATTGTTTCTCCCAAGAATTGAGTCCTGACAAGCATGTCATCACAACCTTGGTCCTCAGTATGTGGCTTCACATCTGAGTTTAGAATTCGACTGGGCTCAGCAAAGGAGTTAATTTTAAGAAAGTGCTTAGTGGAGATTAACCGAAGATTAAATTATCTTTAATTGACCAGATGTGACAACTTTTTAAGTAGTCTGCTCAATGATGCTTTGTTCTTTGTAGAGAGAGTTATTTTGTTGCCTTCATCAGTGATTACATTTAACAAAGATTATTCGTTATTTTTTCCAGTTTTGCATATATGTGAATACTATTTAAATTAGGTTTGTATTTTCAGGCACCATGACTTCTATTATTAAACTCCATGCCATCTCTGGTGCCATGGATGAATCTCCACCATGTTATATTCTGCAGGTGGATGATTTTCGCATTTTGTTGGACTGTGGATGGGATGAAAACTTTGATCAGGATTTTATGAAGGAACTGAGAAGGTATGTGATGTCCATTTCTGTTGCTGTTCATTATATATAACTAAAATTTGGCTACAAAGCAAACATATTGGGAAAAAGATGCTCTTTACTTGTGTATGTCTCTAATAATTTTCTCTGATTTTTCTTCTTTGGTTAAATGAGAGACCACATTTTACACGCATAAAACATCAGATAAAATTACATTCTAATCATTAGGTTTTCAAATAGGAAGGAGGAAGGTAGAAGAAGAGATTTAAAATTTTCACAACAGTGAAAATCAAGATTCTGATTTTAAGGTTGATGTCATTTTGTAGTTTGGTAGGTGTTACCACAATTTCAGAAGAACCTGCTGTGTCCATGTTCAGGGCAGATGAAGATGGAGGCAGTAGGTTCCTCCAAAATATTCTAACCATCTACTGAACTGTACATTATGATAACTCAGGAGACAGAATTCTGAGAAATGTAAAAGATCAGAATCCTGTACCCCTGTAAAGCTGTAATTTAATCATATAAATTTGTGATGTGTCACTCTGTGGGAAGAACATAAATTGAAGGCGTTTGGAAACAAAATGCTGAGGAAAATATTTCTTTGTAAGGAGGAGTAATGGGAGAATGGTGAAGATTATGTAATGAGGTCCATAAATTGTACTCTTCACGAAGTACTCCAAGGATGCTCAAATCATGTTGGATGAGGCTGGTGGGGCATGCAGTATGCATGGAAGAGTTGGTTTTCTTAAAAAATTTTGTTTGGAAAATGTGAGAAGAGAAACCTTTGGGTTTCATGAAACGTGGAGAATTTCTTGCCAGCTGAGAAACTGGCAGCATCTGAAAAGGCCATAGCTCCATACATTTAGTTAATTAGTATGTTTTATCTACATTGCGAGAGTGCACATAATTTAATTCAACCAATTTTTTTTTGTAAGATTTAAGGCTTTCACGGCGGTGACTATGAAGAAAGCAGTCTTCTGGG